TTTTGATCTTCAGCATGTTTGGTTGATAAAAAGTCCTCTGATTTCAGGACCTTGGACAGAGTATCTTGTATCATCTATTAAATGACTTTGTGCAGTGACCATGCATTTTGTTGATATGCAGCAACTCATATTCTTGCCCTGACTCAATGATGCATTTGGGAAAGGTTGCTTGGGCATTCCTGCATAATATTAAATTAATAATATTAACATTTTAATATTAAAAGATATTAAAGGTGCAAAAACAAAATATAAAAATGTATGTTGACTTTCCCTTCTATTCTTCCTCCTCCCATTACTGAATCAGTATGGAATCTCAGTGGTACAATGATGTTTTTGTAGGCAAATAGGCAAATGTCTGCAAAAAAATCCCAGATAATTTCCCACCAAATCTCTGTCAAATACCTTGTGTTCTGCTGTCTCTGGTATTAGTTGCAGATGAGGAATTAAATAAAAGAAGTGCAGAGCTACATCATGATTTCTGTAAAGAGGTATAATTTAGAAATATACTTCCTATTTTGACTTTATTGGTCAGTTTTACTTAAATAGCTGTTCATTTTTTGTGTTGATATAAAACCTTTTTTATACCACTATTTCTGTACAAGACATAGGGAAGAGAAATAATAATTTATCTATGCATGCAGCTGTAGAGTTCAATGTTAGTGGTCACTTACTGCTTCTGAGTTCAGTATACTCAGGAAAAAATCTATATTCTTCTCATATGTTCGCTGGGCATGAAAGCAATCTCTAAATACTCAGAAAATAAAATGAGGTTAAACTTGCAATTCTGCCAGACTGCTGTCTGTTGGAACCTATCCTCAAACCCGATTGCTTTGTTTCTCCCAGTGCAGTTTAGAAAACATAGCACTGGGAAATTATTTTATGAAAAAGAGAAACTGAAAGTATGCAGGAATCAGCAGCTTTGAACTGTTACCCAAAGAAGCATTTAAGAATTTAAACTGATCCATCGTTCATCTATCTATCTATCTATCTATCTATCTATCTATCTATCTATCTATCTATCTATCTATCTATCTATCTATCTATCTATCATCTCTAGCTATCTAGCTATCTTCATCCATCTATCCAAAAGCTTTATACACAAATATAAGGATTTTTTTTTCTGGAATTTTATGTGTATGTATTCTATAAGGCAAATTGTAACATGTCTTAAATACTTTGCAAGTGCCAATCAACACTAAGTTCAGACATAAATATGCAACCTATGCATATATCTTCCTCCTAATATAATTGTTCACAGAGAAACCTGTGAAATATACTATAGGTAGGTTGTGCTGCAATACAATCTAAGAAATTACTTCAATATGTCATAAAACCTAACACTGAGTCAGCACAATAGTCTTTGGTTAATTTCACAAAGTAACACAATAATAGAAGTTGAAATGAGCAGTATTGTTCTTTTATTCACCAAGCCATGTTTTCTTTAACCTATCCTGCTTATAGCATTAGTTAGACAAAGAAAAGAACATAAATTTTGGTGTGCATACCACAAGAAAAGAAATAATGCCAAATTATTTACTGGGTTTATGCAATTGATTAGTATTGCATAATATTATGAGAAAATTGGAAATGGAGAAAATAGAGTCACATTGTCATGAAGTCACTTATCTCTTCCTCTCTAGCAACAATATTCCTCTGACCTTTTACATTACTATGTTATGGTATATGGTATATAAAGTGAAAAAACAGAAATATTTTAATGGATTCAATTTTCTATTTAAATATATACAAGCTTTCTAGTCTTTCCTTCAACTGGTAATCAGTATTTTGTGCACATTCCCACACCAAGTGAATGAGTAAAAAAAGATGTTTTATGTTCCACTCCAAAGTCTCAAATCATTAGGGGCAATTGAAGAGCCAACAGATGTCTTTTCTTTCATTCCCAATGTCCCTTCTCTCATTCCCAATGCCTTACATTCCCTTGCAACAATGCAGGTAAAAGCAGATGCACCAGTGGTAGTTATAACATCTTGATGTACTCAATACACTTTCTAGTGTGGAAAAATATTACTACTTGTATACATTACTATTGAAATGAAGCTCCCCTGAAAATTTTTTAACATGCATGGCATGTTAATGTTTACCTTTGCATTAGATAATCCCAGAATAGTTAGTACAATGAAAATGATTGCATTCAAAGTTCATCCTATTGTCACTAAACACCTGGCTCTTGCCTAAGGTAGGATGGCAAGAGCATGGTTGTAGGGTGGAGTAAACAGGGAGGTAAGGAACTGGCAAGTGGATAACAAAAAGCACTTTTTGGCAACTTTAAAGCTATAGGAACTTTGTGAAATTGATTCTCTTCAGTCCCCTAAGCACTTGGAGACAGTTCTGGAAACAAAAAAGATTGTCCACAGTTTTAAGATTCCACACTGTGAACTCAAATATAACACCTATCCAAAAAGTCTGTACCAGCAGTTTAAGCCTTATTCTCCTGCTATCTCACCAATAGTCCCCATAAGCCTTTCAGCCTCTGCTGTGGATTCTAAGCAGATTCTACCTGGCCCCCTTTTTCCATCTTGACTTTCCAACTTTGGAAACCACCTCTGATCTCTGCCTGGTACATTGCTTCAAGATATTGAGGGAGCTTGTTTGTGCAGATCCAATAAAGATTGTCCAGAAGTTTCCTGGTCTTTAGTTTTCTATTTGCCAATCTCCATTTTCTGTCATCTCTCTTATCTTCTTCTCCAACCTGACCCTCCCCACTCTCTCTCAAAAAAAGTAAACCTGTAAACACTCATTTGATGCAGATGTGGCTTTTTCATAATGAATCTGGGGTTTCTCTCCATCACAGGTAACTTAGCTGGCACAGAATTACAAATAACAATAGATTCTGGACAAAGATAAAAAGGCAACAGGAAACACCAAAGTAATCAGGTAAACATTCCTCCCTGTCTGATCTTAACCTATGATCTCTTTGATCAAATAAGAAATCTTTCCCCAAAGAGATTACTACAGAAAAAAAAGGAGAAATCACAATTCAACAGAATGCCTGACTGCAAAGTGTTGCTTCTTAGAATGCTGGCTAAGTGCACATTCTTGGAATGAATGTGTGTGTCCCATATTTATTCTTTTTTATAAACAACTTAAGGCAGAGAACATATCTAATACTCCTTCTGCTATTTTTTTTCACAATAACAACCCCTCAAAGATGAGTTGGGTTTAGAGAGAGTGATTGGCCCAAGGTCATCGAGCTGACTTTCATGGCTAAGGTGGGACTCAAACCTCCCACCTCCTGGTTTCTAGTTCAGTGCCTTAACCATTAGATCAGACCTAGAGAATACATTTTCATGTGCTTTCAAGGAAGAAAGGCAAAGAGGTGTGTGTGTGTATGATTTTTGGAGGAGACCAAATGTGGTAGGTCCAATAACTGGTTGTATGTTGAGCTCTCAGAATAAACTTCACCTGTAATTCAAATAACTCCCTGTGTTCTTTATTCACAGCTTGGGAACAAACCTGGTAAGATACCTTTCCAACACCTCCATTTTAATATATTCTTTGCTCATTTATTGTTCCATTTATTGCTGTTATTATTATTTCCTGTGGTATGTTAGTTGTTATTGAAACTACTTCAGACAACTGAAATATTTGTCAGTTGCATTAAGAATGCTGTAGGAAGTAAATTATAGGTAGAATAAATTATTTAATAAAGGGGGGAAAAACTACCCATCTTTTATATAATATGATTCCTAATGTAGTTCAAGAACAGAGAAACTAGTCAAAGCCTCAATTTCATCAAGACCTGTCTTCACCCTCCCTTTCTTCTCTCCTGCTTAGTCTTAGAGGGAAATATTACCATCTCCGAGAATGTACACTAGATGCTTGTGCACAACGGTTGATGATTCGTATATACTATCCTTCACCTTCAAGAAATCTCATCTGGCTGGATCCATAGGGTACACCAGAGGTGATATTCAGCCAGTTTGGACCAGTTTGCCCAAACTGGTAGTCGAAATCTCAGGTGGGCCCGCCCACCCGCCCCATATTTAGGCACTTTTTGAGGTGGTGTGCAGGTGCACAAGGCATGCGTGTGAGCAAAGCAGAAGCCGGGCACATGCATGAAGTGAGCATGTGTGTGCGTGGTGAACTGGTGGTAAGAAAAGGTGAAACCCACTGCTGGGGTACAATGCTAGTGACACAGCAGCATTTTAAAGCATCCTTCCTCAATCTAATATCTTCTATATGGGTTAGACTATAATATTATGAGAGTTGAAGTCCAACATAACTGGAAGGCACCAGAGTAGAGAAAGCTGTCCTCAAGAAGATAAATGTTCATAGCAAGGTAAGAGAAAAAATTATGAATAATGAATATTTAAGATGTGTGCTATCTGTTCTGATCACAAAAGCACTCTTCTGAATGGGGCTTTATAGTCAGAAATATTTGACACAAATGGAATACCATATTAAAATATTTCCAACATCTTAGAAATACACACACACAGGAAATTATGAACATAATTTAAGATCACTATTTGCAGAAGGAGAGTGATATTTGAGAAAAGGTAGCTGAGCATATCAAATCAATGATTCTCTTCTCTGGGATGAAATGATAAAATGCATTTCTATGACCTCAATTCTGCAGATAATATTGCCCTGCCTAGTTTAACATATTGCTTATTGGAAGAAAAGATCCTGCAGACAAGGCAAAGATAAGCTGTAAACAGCTACCTGTGCAATGAAAGTAAAATGGCCCAGGACAAAGGCATTTTACAAAAAGTCAGCTCAGGAGAGAAATGGGAATTGTATATTGCATGTCAAACAATTGTCTTCAACTTGAAATGCTAGATAAAAACACCTTTAACATTAGTGTCCTATTTTCTATGAACAAATTATTCTTAATTAAAACTATTGAATACCCTTTAGTGGTCAATTTCACTGCAAAAGAAATTTTGGTTCTACACCAATATTTTGTTTTCAATTGGCAGTATACAAACAACTGAAATAAGCATATTTACATTTGCAGGAGTGTTCTGTTACTTCCATATTTATATCTGAATTCAGTAATGAACATTTATAAAATCTGTGGACAGAGGATTATATTACAGGAAAACATATATTGTTAAAGAAAATGTAATAAAATTTATGGAGATATCGTCGGCATTATTTGAGAATATAATGCAGCATTCACTTATACTTGCAAAAGGAGTTGTACCCGACCAAATACAAGTGCTTTTGATTATTATAGGCTGACCCATCAATTTTCAGTATGTGAAAAGACTGCAAACCATTATTAATAGAAATCCTCTCTTCTGGGAACATTGTATGATTTTGGGAAAATACACCTGCCTTCCATTCAGACAGCAATATCTCCTGATAAGTCTCAAATTTCTCCTTTGCATTAATTATAATTAATCAATCTGGAAAGTGGCAATTCATCTCCATCTCCTTAGTCAGATGACTCCAGATCAGAGCATGCTGCAAAATATTAGAAGAGGTTAATTCCACCATTAATCAATATAAGGAGCAGAATGTATAGTGCTGCCCTATATTTTATTTCATTTTATTTTATTTAGTTTGTCAAGCATGTATAAGATAACAAATATAAGTATAAACATAATTATGAATACAGGAAATGGATATGAATAAGTGGGGACAGTAGGACAGGGATGGTAGGCACATTGGTGCACTTAGGCGCACCCCTTGCAGACCTTTTAGGAATGGGGTGAGATCAACAGTAGACAGTTTAAGGTTAAAGGTATGGTGGTTTGGGGATGAAACCACAGAGTCAGGTAGTGCATTCCAGGCATTGACCACTCTGTTACTAAAGTCGTATTTTCTGCAATTGAGTTTGGAGCAGTTTACCTTAAGTTTGTATCTATTGTGTGCTCATGTATTGTTGTGGTTGAAGCTGAAGTAGTCATTGACAGGTAGGACGTTGTAGCAGATAATTTTGCTATGCCAAGGTCAGACCGAAGATGACATAGTTCTAAGTTGTCTAAGCCCAAAATTTCAAGCCTGGTGGTATAAGGTATTCTGTTGTGAATGGAAGAGTGGAGGCCTCTTCTCATAAAATATCTCTGGACTCGCTCAATTGTCTGATATGCAGTGTAGGTTCCAGACAGATGAGTTCTATTTGAGAATAGGTCTAGCAAAGGTTTTATATGCCCTAGTTTGCAATACAATATTATTGGAGAAGAAGCTTTGCAAAACTTAATGCCTTTTTGGCAATGCTGTTACAGTGAGCTCTGGTACTTAGATCATTAGAAATGAGCACTCCCAGGTCCTTGGCAGAGTGAGGGTCATTCACGAGGTCATATCTGCCCAGCTTGTATTTGGTGTTCTGATATATATTTTTTGCCACTATGTAAGACAGAGCATTTGTTGCTTGAGATTTGGAGTTGCCAATTGTTTGACCATTCTTACACATGGTCAAGGTCCCTTTGTAGGGCAGCAACATTATCAGTGGTGTTGAATAGTTTTACATCATCAGCAAAGACAACGCAGTTGCTTATGATATGATTGCAAAGGTCATTTATGTAAAATTTATGATGTAGTCTAACTCTACCATGTATTGTACAAAAGGAATTGTAGTAATACTCTGCAGAACTTACTTATTCTTCAACTACATGAAGTCTATCAGTTGCCAAATGGGATTATGTTTCAAGAAACCTATGAACATGAGGAAAAGAACTTTAAGTGTAGTGTTCTTTGTTGTGAGTATGAAAGGCATCATTCTGACATAACCTTATTTAAAGATTGCTTACAAGGCAATAAAAAGGAGCCGGATCTCTTTCTCTTGGTCAGCAAAATGTTTGATCTCTTATTATTCTTCAGCATACCCTGAAGTATCTCAGCCACTTCTAAAAATTTAAACTCTAGAGATTTTTAGGATAAAAGAGTCCATCTCCGACAAGTTTGCACAGAAAGGATTCTTTTGCTGGCCCTGGGTTTAGAGCGAGAAGAGGAAGAGATATAATTTATATCTACTTATGTGGGGACAAAAGATTAAAATAATACTCAATAGGTTTTTTTTTAAAAAAACCAATATATTACACTGTTTCCTGTGAATAGTATTTATGAATGTAGTAGCAAAATACACCCAAATAGTGAACAGGTCCATTTAGAAAATATAGCCAACCTTTGGCTGAGAGAATGGGGAAGGAAGACACCATATATTATCATGGCATATGATATCCTAAACCTGCAGATTGTCTTTGTAACTAATACACTGAGTCTGTGGAAAAACAGACACAATAATACAATATATTTTTTTACACACACTCAGTCTGGGAGAGAGGCAGGGAAAAGTGAAGTGGGCTAAAAGTTAGTTGGTAGTGATTGCAGTCAAAGGGAAAGAGATGGAGGAAAAAGTTGGCAAGCAAAGATGAATTTCGGCAGTCCTGGGTTGCAGATCCTTAGATAATTCATTGTAGGGGAAAATAAGACAATTCTAAAAAGTACATACTTTAAGCTTTCATTGTTTGTCTCCTGATTATGTGTTATAATTTTTGCATGTGGAGAAGTTCATCAAGCTTTCATAGAATTCCAACATTTTGAACTCTTATATAGCAGTAGCCACTTAGACTTATATACCTCTCTAAGTGGTTTACAGAGTCAGCATCCCAACAATCTGGGTTCTCATTTTACCAATCTCGGAATGATGGAAGGTTCAGTCAACCTTGAGTCAGTGAGAATCAAACTGCTGGCAGTCAGCAGAATTAGTCTGCAATACTGCATTCTAACCACTGTGCCCTCACAGCTCTATATGAACGCAAACCTGTGGTTGTTGCCTGTAGTAAAAGAAGGGTGGGCAAATGAACATTCCAGGCAAAAATGGCAGACTAGTAAAGCAATTAGACCATGGAGCAATTAACTATGTTCCTTTGAAGGCAGAAACTGAGAGAAAGGGGAATTGAAGCTCTCTTTGTCTCCACTAGCTGGATGCTGCTTGCATAATTATATTTTGAAAAGGCCAATCTCAAAGGCAAATGAATACCTTTCTACCCTGAATATGTTACAAAAAAACAGGGGGAAAAACCCAGAATGATTCATAGGAAAGACTTGGCATGCTGTATTTTGTCTGAACAATCACTACAAATTCACAAAACCATGTGTTTTAAATTGGTTTTACCTGCTCCACATGTCTGTATTAGATGTTCTAGAAATTGACTACAAAAATTAGAACATGTGGTGGATTATAATTTGAGATACTTGAAAAAATCTCAGTCTTTGCTTTGCTTTCATGAAATGGTTGAGTGCAATCTGGAATCTCTGGGTTTTATTCTTTATTCTTTTTTTAAAAATATTGCTTGAAATATTTTGCAATGTTTTGTTTTTAAGCCATCCTGAATACTATAATGGAATGAGAGTATGAAATATTTCAAATAAATAATGATATGGGCAATTAGCAAAGATGAATTACCTAATGATTTTAAAAAATGCCTCTACCAGTATATTGTAAATATTATTACTCAATTGCTTTTGATTTTGGACAAATTTGGTTAGAACTTGGAATTTTTAAAGACACAAAGAGATAAGATGGTAAGTGCAAAATAAGATTTTCCTAATTATTTTAGTGACTCTCATTTAACTTTTTAATAAATGACATGTTTATAAATGTCAGTAGCAATTAGTTTTTCCCCTAAAAGATTATGGAATAGCTGCTGTATACTGATGAGATCACACTTTTGGGCTACAGAGATTCCTAGTCTCCCTTGAGATTATTGATTAAAATGATCTTGCAATTAATTATAACAAGACAAAGATTTTGAGCAACAGATTTTCAGCATAAATGGGACCTAGATTCCTAGATTGTGCTGTAGCAAAACATTTTGCCAATTGGTAACAGTAACCTGTTTCTTATATGAGGCTTGGACTTCTCAGTGTTAATCCATGTGGTTGAAAATCAGTAGTAAAAACACTTATATTCAGAAATGTTGTTGGGGAAAAGGTGGTCTTCACACACAGACATGCACACAAATTGTGTGTGTGTGTGTGTGTGTGTGTGTGTCCGCACACACACACACACACACCATACGTACATATGTGTGTATCCATATAATTTAAAGACAATATAAAAACTAACAGTAAGTAATGCAAACAGAGAAAGACAAATAACAGTGCAGAAAAAAAGAATATAAAGATATAGAATAAAGCTTCCAATTTTCTTTGCAGCAAATAGAAGTATAATTACAAAATCATCTCTTACTCCATGATTAGGGGAAAAAAAACCTCATTTTTTATATTAGCCATTTTTTCCTAATCATCTAAACTACAAATTGTGAAGTATTTTTCTGTTTCATGCAAAAAGTCTGTAAGGGATTTTCAGTCAGCCATACATATAGATACTGTCTTTTCTATAATCAGAGACATTAATTTATCCAACTCTGCAAGTTTCATCAGCTTCATCAACCATTCCTTGGTGCAAATGTCATATATTATGCAAGGTTCTATGAGTTTTTCCTAGTTACCTGTCAGAAAAAAGTATCTCTAACTGCAGGCCCAACATTTTCTCTTTTTTTTCTTTTTAATAGCTTTATTGATTAGCCTATAGGCCATATCAAATCACAAAGTCCAAACACATATCACCAATAAATCCTATACAAATAATTTAAAATAAGAGTGGGGTAAAATACAATAGTTATAGGATAAGATACAATATCATTTAATGCTTAAGTATGTTAAATAGAATAAAATGACATAAAATTATATTTCTGTGTCACCCTTACAATCTAGTCCAATCTGCCCCATGTATGCAGATCTCAAGCAAACCACTTTGTTTAAGTACTGTGCTTTATTAAATGTTATGTTCAGGTTCTGGCCACACATAAATTAAGTTGTTTTGATATGGGGATCCATGTTGTTTCTTAAAATAAAGCGTCTAGCATTATTACTTCATGGAACTGAGGGAACTGATCCCTCAACTCTATGTGTTAGTCATAGCCCTGAAAGTTAATCTAAGTGTACCAAGTTGTACTCCCACCTTATTTCCTTGAACAGAGGCTTAACGTCTCTAAGAGATAACTTCCCTTAGGAATAATACATATGAAAATATTACCTGTTCATTTGTTCCTTCCAGGAGACCCAAGAAAGATGTTTTAGGACAAATGCAGTCTGACCTGAAATGTAGGATGTGAACTAGATCTGGCCATCGTTTCCTATAAGTTCTTATGTTGTCTATTGGGACCTTCTCATCTTTCCCCCTCTGCTGCGAAGAAAATAATTAAGAAATATAATTATGTGATCCGATTAGAGTTCGGTGCCCTAGCATATAATAAGGCAATTCAATAGCTTTCTTTAATTAAAAAGTCCCATTGTTATGCAACGTATCTACCAGTTAAGGATTTTCCAATATGAAAGGCACTAACTCAGTTTTGCAAATGCAGTTAATGCCACTGGTAGATTTTGAAATATTTATTTATCAAATTGCTATACTGCCCATCTCATCTGCATGCCTCTGGATGATTTACAAATAAAATCATGCAATCATATTTTAATTTTTTAAAAAAAACAGAATTAAAACAAAAACATAATAATTGAACAATTAAAAATTAAATGCAGAAGAAGCACTTTCAAATCACCAGCCCTCCCCCTGGTTACATACCACTCCAAAACCCACCCACCCACCCTGCAAGTTGACAGAACCAGTCTTGGCATTCTTCCAAAAGGCCAGGAAAGTGGGGGATCATCTCATCTCTGGAGACAAGGTGTCCTATAGGACAGGGACAAAGGCAGAGAAGGCTCTCTTCCTAGAACCTGCCAACCAAATCTTTTTACTCAATGAGGTCACCAACTTACTTCCTGCTGGCTGGTTGGGATGAGTCAATAAAATAGGGTTGAGATAGTTTCTCAGATAATCTGATCCTATGCTACGAAAGGCTTTAGAGACTTCAGCACTTTGAATTGGATCCAAAAGCAAACTGGAAACCAATGAAGCTCAGACAGCAGAAGTGTTGTATGTGCAACTCTAGGAGTGCCCAAAACTTCTTATAGTCCTGCATTCTGCATCAGCTGCAGCTTCTGGATACCCTTTAAGGATAGCCCAGAGGTTGTTGCAGTAGTCAGTACCAGAGATAACCATATCTATGTCTTTGTTTGCATGATTGAGAATTTGCTCCATTATTTGTTTTACTGTTTTATGTCAGCAGTATGAATACAGAAAAATTTCTATGTTGCGAAATAAAATCCACTGATCATTTTAAATGTATATTTATTTTTTTATCCACAAAAGATAAACGTTTTTGAGGCCACCATAGATCTATCTGGACTGTCTGTAGCATTTCTGGTAAGAAATCTATTCATTCTTCCATATATGTACTTGAGTTGCTTTGTATCTATTTACTATTTTCCTAATAAGGTTTTAGTAGCTATTGTTAGCAGCCATTGTGCTGAATCGTGATTTACTTTAAACATAACTTATCAGAAGGGCGAACCCCACCCACTATTCATCTTGGTTTTCTAATTTCATTATATTGGTCATAAATTGTGCCCTTGAAATTTGGCAGCAAAAATTGGCTGCTTGTTACTTGTTCAAGGAAATTTGGCATACGGAAGGAAAACTGTGATACAGCTTGAGCGACAGAGCAGAGAACTTTGCAGCATAGCAAGAAGTGTAGCTTGAGAACAAGGTCCCTCAAGATGTTGAAGAATGGAGCAGAAAGATTTTTACAGGGGTGAAATCAACTTACCTTCGCTACTGGTTCACAAAATGTGAGTCTGCACTTCTGCAGATGTGCAAAGCATCAAAAACAGAATGTGATGATGTCCAGGCAGGTGGGCGGGAGGGGCCTCTCGCCTCCAGGGCTACCAGTTGGCCTCAACCATATAGAACCAGAATTTCACCACTGAATTTTTATCCTTCTGCAATAACAAAGCATAAAACAAAGATGTTTAAATGGAAATATTTTGAAAGCAGTCACCAATTCATAAACTGAGCATATCATCTGATTATCTTGAATAGCTGCATAGAATTAAATAATTAAAATTACTTTCTGAAAATCCATTTGAACAAGAATTTCATGTTCCTTATTGGAAATAAATTGTAAGCTGAATTTGTAAGCTGTTTCCCCTGAAGAGTCTAAAATTCCAGGTGTCTGAATGTATTCAATGGGGTGGCCTGTATATGTTCAACTCACTTCCTGCTTTTGTACTCCTTTGGGGTGGGAAAATAATTTTTCCCCGTATTTAAGAACCCATATGGTGTGCTCAAAAAGAATGTTTTAGCAAATAGCTATTAATATTTAAGCAATTTTCATTATGCATAGTAAGTGATTGCATGGGGTCTAATGGCAAGCCTTAATCACGTACCTTCTCCCTAAGCCCACACATCCTTCTCCAATGGTTGTTCATACTGTAAATCCCTTGCTGAGAGGTTGGTCAAGTTTTAATAATCAGACAGTGAACTCAATCATTTGTTCTTCTGTGAGTTCAAACCTAGGCTCTTTTAACTTCCTATCCAAATCCCTGTTCCTATCTGTTATCATAATCAAACATTGTATTACTGAGAGCAGCTTTCAAGAGAAGCAGTACTACAGCACAGTATGTGCACAAAAGTGAGTGTTTGCTTTTATTCCTAAAGGAGGCCTGCATAGAGTTTCAGTGGGAGCCACTTCAGGGTTTTGTGTTTGCAGCCATTAGTAAGGTAGAAAACACACTTAAGCTCTCTTCAAAGCGAGTATGCCTAAATCAGAGAAAAAATGAGGAAGAATAACACGTACGACCTGGTTGCTTGTTTAAGGAGTGGTTTCTTTTTTCTTTTGCAATCAGAGACCGTACAAAATAGCTGGCAAGGATGGATTTTACTCTGAGAATAAGCACTTTTGAACTGACAAGTCAACTATACACTGACAGCTTCACCAGAATTAAAAGAACAACCACACCTCTGTAATCTAATTAATTTAATTTATTTGATTTGATATGGCTGCCTACTCCAGAAGACTCTGGGCACCTTACAAAATCCACACATTAAAAAAGAACCACATGATTCCCAGGTTTAGGAATAGATGGGTACTGTAAATAGCACACATCTTTAGATATTCTCATATAAATTATACATGTGGAAGTGGAGAAGAATCTTTGTTATTCTCTGTAATCTCTGGTAATATGTTCTGGAGTGAATAATGTCATTTCTGTCCCATGACCAAGATTGAAACCAGACTGAAAAGTATCTAGAAAAGATCATCAACCATCCTCCAGAATTTCCCAAAAGGTGTTAAAACATAGATTGAGAGAAGATGCGCCACTGTCTCTTTCAACACAGAGAGGGATGTGCAGTCAGGAGAGGCAGGGGAGGCAGAGCCTCACCACTGTGATCATGAAAAGAAACTTAACTGTTTAACTGTTTAAAAAAGCCTCTAAAAAGCGCCCTCTACAGGAGGAGGCAGGAGAACGACGTGCCTCATCTAGTCTGACTTTAGGCGTTTTATGATCACTCGAGCAGAGTTAAGCAAGAGTGTGTGTGTGTGTGTGTTTGAGAGAGGGGAGGGAGGGAGAGAGGGAGGAAGGAGGGGAAGGGAGAAGAAAAAGAAAGAAGGAAACTTATTTCGCAAA